CAAAATTTACGCCGTGGTTCAAAGGTCTATATTATCTTGAGTCTTCACAGTGTTAAGCATTCTTCATTCTTTATGCTCATCTAGATAAGATAGTAAATAGGCCAAAGAGCTTAGAGAGTACTTGATTTTGCTAGGCAAAAGTCACAGCACCTGAAAACTGGCTTTTAGGGTTCTCCTCTGCTGAGAACCAGAGAAGTTCAGTCACGTTTCCTTTGTTACAAAGCTTTAAAGTCTGGGATCAACAGATTTTAAAGACCCAACCTAACTCCACCCCTAGTTAATGGTATCCTGAAGTTAGGGAAAATAGGGCTAGAAACAGGGAACCGTAATTCTAGATCCAATTCTGTCAGTGACTCAGTGTATGATCGTGGACAAGTCATTTATTTTCCCTGTACCCATTAGTAATTGTATGTGATAATTCTTGACATACCTACTGTCATGGATTGAATTGTGTCCCCCCAAAATATCTGTCAAGTGAGCGGCCATCTAAGATACTCCACTGGTCTCATCCCTTCAGGAGCAAGGGAGAATGAAGAGAAGAGGATACAAGGAAAAGATTAGTCCGAAGGACTAATTGTCCACAGCTACCAAGGCCTCCACCGGACTGAGTCCAGTACAGCTGGTTGGTGCCCAGCTACCACCACTGACTGCTCTGACCAGGATCACAAAAGAGGGTTCTGGACAGAGCTGGAGAAGGATGTAGAGCATAATTCTAACTCATAAAAAAAGACCAGATTTACTGGCCTAAAGGAGACTGGAGAAACCCCGAGAGTATGGCCCCCAGACACCCTTTCAGCTTAGTGGTGAAGTCACCTCCAAGATTCACTGTTCAGCCTGGAAGTGGACAGCCCCGTAAAACCAAATGAGACTAATGAGGTACAGGAGTCCAGTGACAAGGGCCAGAAAGCAGAAGGCGACAAGGAAGCTGGTGTTAGGGAACCCAAGGTTGAGTAAGGATATTGTTGATGTGTCATGAGATTGTTAACCATTGTCATAGGGCAACATTTGTAGAAACTGTTAAATGAGAAACTATTTTGTTCTGTAAGCCTTCATCTTAAGTGAGAATAACAGCACAATTTGAAGAGTGTAGTCAATGTCACTGAACTGTGCATGTAGAAATTTTTGAAATGGTGTATCTTTGGCTATGTGTATTTTCACCAAAAAAAAAAAGAGGTTGAGAAGTTAGAGGGTTGATATGTTGTGGGGTTGTTAACCAATGTTATAAAACAACATGTGTGCTTCTGTTTCATGAGAAACTATTTGTTCTGTAAGCCTTCACCTGAAGTACAATAAAAAAAAAGAAAAGAAAAAAAAAATCTGTCAACTTGGCTGGGTCATGATTCCCAGAATTGTATGATTGTGTGCCATTTTGTAATCTGATGTGATTTCTTTATGTGTTGTAAATTCAATCACTATGATCTAATAAGATGGATTAGCAGCAGTTATACTGATGAGGTATACAAGATTGGATAGTGTCTTAAGCCACTCTCTTTTTAGATATAAAAGAGAGAAGTGAACAAAGACACATGGGAATCTCCTATCACCAAGAAAGCAGTGCCGGGAGCAAAGCATGTCCTTTGGACCTGAGGTTGCTGCACAGAGACACTCCCAGACCAAGGGAAGACTGATGCATCACAAGAACCTTCCTTCAGAGCCGACAGAGAGAGAAAGCCTTCTCCTGGAGCTGATGTCCTGAATTTTGACTTGTAGCCTACAGGACTGTGAGAGAGTAAACTTTTCTTTGTTAAAGTCATCCACTTGTGGCATTTCTGTTATAGCAGCACTAGATGACTAAGACACCTACTTTCCCTGGGAGCTATGAAACTAATATTAGATAACTTATGTTGATACTTAGAAGCATACATAGATATTAATTGCTACCTCCTCTGTGTTTTCATTGTACTCTGTAGGTCTCTACCACATTATCTCAAAATTATCTGTTTAGATGTCTGTCTGCATGGCTAAACTACAAGCTCATCAAGGGTAGAAACTAGACTGAATTCATCTTGGCATCCCTTGGTTTCTATAACATTGTTTAAGATGAAGCAGGTCCTCAATGTTTTTGGAAAGACAAAAGAAAAGACAATTTTTTGAAAACTTTTCAAAAATAACAATAAAATCCTTATGACTTTTGACCTTGAGACATCATAAAAAATTCAGTTCCTTAAAGAAAAAAACTTTCAGTGTTAAAGAGGGTGCCTAGTGAGCTTTAAACAATCTGGAGACTGTTTTCTACACACACACAAACACACACACACCCCAACTTTTGTTTTTACAGGACTTTACAAAATAAACTAACAGCATCCTATTTAATATTTACAAAAACTCTGTAAGAGCAATATTATTATCCCCACTTCGCATAAACAGAAACTGAGTTATGGAGAAGCTAAGTCATTTGTCCATGGACACACACATTCAAGAACTCACCAGCAACTGAGGTGGAGTAGCAGCTGGGCACTTTTAAATTAATTCAGTGAACAAAATTGACTAAGCAGAATGTGTAAGGCAGACAGCTAGATGCATTGGGCATACAAAGATAATTGAGACATACTTCAAGAACTGTCTTGGGATTCTAAGCCATGGGTGTAGATAATCAGCAAAGAAGAGACTGAGTTGATGGGCCTTCCAAGGAGAAAGAATTAAGGAGAATCTGTAGGAAAATGATGTTTAATCTGGGGATAGGGATGGGCGAGATGGGGGGAAGGACATAGGTAGGACTTTCAGACAAAGAGAACAGCATGAGAGAAAAGAGGGAGGACAATGGTCACATCAATAGGCAGAGAAGTAGTTGAGACATACAGAGAAGTGGACATCATAATGATTTTCAGGGTGGTGAACATCTAAGTGGAGGTGTCCACCCAGTAGTTGGAAATGGAAATCCTGGGCTGGAAGAAATGATGAAGTAAAAGAGCTGAACAGAAGATGTCAAAGGGCAGCTCAAGAAGACAAACTCAGAGCAGCCATGTTGCTCTTGGTTACAAGGGCAGCTAAGTACTGATAATAATAAACCTTCTCAGTGTATTCTGAGTGTATTCTCTTTCTTTTAAAAACAACTAAACAAAAAGAACCCTCTTTTGACCATAAGTCCAAAACTGTTTTCACCCATGCCAGCAATGATCTATAAGTGTTAAATCAAAGTGGTATGAGAAGGTTCATTATTAGCAATACTTGGCTGTCCTTGTAACCAAGAACAAAATGGCTGCTCCAAGTGAGGAACTGAGCTGGGCTAATTGCCTCACTCACTCATGCTCTTGCCTCATCATCACTATGCTCCAGACAAATTACATAATATGGAAGATTTGATTTTTAAAAACTGGAGTGTTTTTTTGAATTTTATAGCAAAAGTGAATCCATCAAAATAGACATAGTCCCACATAATTATCCCTTTGAGAGGTTATGCACTATTCTAAAAATAATGTTGTTGTTAGGTGTCATTGAGTCAGTTTCAATTCATAGTGATCCTATATACAATAGAATGAAACAGTGCCTGGTCTCGTGCCATCCTCACAACTGTTGTTATGCTTGAGCCCATCGTTGCAGCCACTGTGTCAATCCATCTCATTGAGGGTCTTCCCCTCTTTCAATAACCCTCTACTTTACCAAGTATGATGTCTTTCTGGGCCCTCCTAATAACATGTCCAAAGTACATGAGACAAAGTCTTGCCATTCTTGCTTCTAATGAGCATTCTGGCTGTATTTCTTCCAAGACAAACTTATTCATTCTTCTGACAGTCCATGGGATATTCAATATTCTTTGCCAACACTATAATTCAAAGTCATCAATTCTTCTTTGGTCTTCCTTATTCATTGTCCAGCTTATTCACTGTTCAGATTTTACATGAGTATGAGGTAACTGAAAATCCATGGCTTTGGTCAGGCACACTTTAGTCTAAAATACTACCACTGTATAAAACCTGTTCTGATTCCTTCTTCACTACTCCTTCCTTGGCACTAAGGAGGCTTATGAACCCTACAATAAATTCTCAAATATTAGCTATTATTATTATCACCATTGTTATTATTCCTCAGCTTGACTGCCTACTTGATTCACTAGACTTGACTCTAAATGACTTTGGACTCTTTTCAATACCACACTTCCCTTAGAATCCAGAGATTTGCCACCACAGAGTATGACTGAAAGACTATTTGATAGGCAGTTCCCCCAAAGGTTTCAAAAGCCATTTTGAGTGATGGCACAGCTTTGGAATGAGAGTTCAACCTGCTGAAGTGATTAATGTGGACAGGACAACTGTTTGTGTGGGTAAGCTCTGGAATGCGTTTCCGAAGAAAGCCTCACACTTATACCTCTGCCATAATGTATGTCTTCTGCACAACCTGTCAGCATTCAGACTGCCTGCCCTATACTGCAAGCTCTCAAATGCTGAGGTTCCTGCTTCAAAAACAAATACTCTCATATTTTAAAAACAAACCACAAGGCAAACAGATTCAGCCAGATACTGTGACAAGAATGCTGAACTTAGAAAAGACACATTCAGACTCTACCATCACTCACTGTGTGGACTCAGACAAGCCATTCACCCTCTCTGGGTGTCAGTTTCTTCACACATAAAGTTGAAGGGGTTAGATTAAAGGACCTCTAAGGTGCCTCCCTTAAAAAATAAAAACCTACCATGTTTTAGGCATCTATTAAAAAGTTTTGGAGATTCTGAGGAGAGGTGCTGTTGAACTATCAGGGTGGGGTAAAGTATGTAGGTAGCTTGAGTAAGTGAGAGAAAAGGCGAGAGGCCTGGGATGAAGGTGAAGAGAAGTTGCAGTAGCCTGGGGAGCAGCCCCCACCACACACACCCAGGAAAGGGGCACCCCCTGCTCTTGGAGGACAAGGCAGCCTTTCTCAGCCTAAGCTAAAGCAGCCGCCACCATGTGGGGTGTTTGTTTGTTTTGTTCCTTGCTGCCCACCAAGTGAGCTGTTGAAAGGACAGCCCTGGCTCCCTTGGTGCTCCATCAGCACTTGGCCCGCGGGTAGGGGAAGAGATCCTTACCCATCGTGTTGTTGGCTCGGGAACAGGTTGTGCGCTTCAGAATCTCGTGCACCTAAAATGGGATGACAGCAGAGCTGTGAACGCCTTGACCACCGTGCGTCATCGCAGCCTGTGAGGCGGTGGGCAGTGGACGGACGAGGTGTCTGGACCCATTTTGAGTGAGGGGGAAGCCAAGCATGTGCCGAGTTCATGTACTGCATGTCAAACTCATTCAAACTTGAGTACTATGAGGAAACAAAGAATTTAACCCCCTCTCACACATTCCCCTCCTTCACCCGCCCTGGAAAATAAATAAATAAAAGACTATAAATTGATTGCAGTTAAAAGAAGTAAGGAAAACATACCAGGCAGTCCCAGACCCACGTAGCCCTCTTGAGGGCTAGGGTGGAAGCACCTTGGTTGGGGCAGGGAACAGCGTCTGCCTCCTGCAAGGGGAACCTCAGGGAAGGCGGAGCCCTCCTCAGCAAGGAGCTTGGGATAGGGCTAGAAGGAGGCATGCTGTCTCCACCAGTCTGGATTCCTGCTGATGGGACAGCCCTGTGGTAGCAGGGAAAGCCTAAGATGTGGAATCAGACATTTCCGGTGCTAGTCCTGGTTCCTAGCAGAGGGGCCCTATACGAGCTCTCTGTGGGTCCATTCCCTTGTCTGTAATAGAACTGGCACAAGGCTGCTTTCCAGAACCAATAAGACAATGCACATGACAGTTTTTGTAACTGCAAAAGGACTGTCTATGTGTTGATTATTGGTTTTATTATTTCTCTGTTCTTTTCTGACTCCCAATCTTGCCTCCCGAATCAGAGCATGTCATATGCTTCGTCTGAGACTCCTGGCTTGGAGCGCACTCCTGGGTACAAGGTGGGTTCAGTGACTACTGCAAGTCTACAGGCCCACGTGCCTGAAGAGGCCTCCAGACCGACTCCTCGTCTCCACCCCTGTGGGTTTTCAGGGTACTCCTCCTCTCACATGGGAAAGAGGGCTGCTGAGAGCACTCCTTGCAGAAGTGATAGGGACACAGGTGGTTCAGTGTAAACCTGCTGGTCAGCTGCTGACTTCCTGGTGGGTCCCAAGGAGGTTTACATCCTGTGCCAAGAGGCAAGGAAGTCTGCTCTGGACAAACAGCTGGGCTGCTCAGATGCCCACAAAGCATGGGGCACAGGGAGCACATTTACAGACGTAGGCAAGGTTCTTGGACAAAAGCCCAGGGCGGAGTAGACCCCAGGGCAAAACTCACAGTGTAGGGTAGGCTGGGAAAAGGGCACCAGAGGAAGGAAAAAGCTTCCATAAGGAGAGCTGAATGAGATAAGGTGTTATTCAATCATCACTCACACTCCCATATTCCAGCCACAGACCTAAAGGGAGTGGTGAATAAATAACTTCCAGCAGAATGGGGCCCAAGAGTGTTCAATTCTGCTTATAATACAGTGCAGTAATTCAACAGCTATAATAATTAGAAACAGCATTTATATGGCATTGTATTATTTTACAAGCACTTTGCAATTATCGGTTAATCTCCACAACACCCTATAACTCCCCCACAGACATGGGACGCAAGCCACGGCAAGATTTAAATGGCTTCTAATAGCATCAACCAAGAAAATGGGAAGTTTATGCTCTTTTTTTCATAGGAAGGGAAAATAAATCATATGCCTAATTAAAACCTTCCTAAAATGCTAGGCTAAGGGAGTTGGGATGTCTTTTTGTCCCCTCTGCAAGCAAAGAGTCAAGGCCATGTCTTCAGTGTGCCTGGGAAATGTTCTGTAGCTTCCTTTAGTCACCCATCCCTTGTTAATTATTCTTCTTATCCTTTCTTATCGCCTTCTTGGCTTGGAAGTCCTACTAGTTATCAAACCCTTATTCTTCCTCCTGGTGAAATGTAATTCTTTCCTAGAAATCAGTGGAAACACACTTCCATGCTTCCCACTGAGAGCATGAGTAAGTATCTAACATTCCTTGGGCCCCTCTTTCTCTCCTCTTCCCATAGGTGGAATAACCTCTAGGATAGTAGAAAATAAACTGATCCATGAAGAGAGACACCCTACCGCTCAGGTTGGGGCCATAGAGGCACAGGCCAAATACAGATTTTCATTAGAATCAGTCACCCCACAAAATTAAAAAACTTGAAGTCATTAGTTAAGATTTTGGAGAAGAAAGGCGACAGTCATGAATTTTGACTTTCTGTTGAATGGGCCAGTCTTTTTTACTCTTGGAGAAATTGGTGAGCTCTAGTACTCACTGTGATATAAATGCACATGACTCCTTTGGGGGTGAAAGAAAAAATGCATAAAGAATCCCAGTAGCCCAGCAATCAGCAGGACTGGTTCTAGTACTCATTCGGACACTAACAATCTATATGAATGTTGTCAATTCATTGCTTCTCAGAGCCTCAGTTTCCTCTACTGTAAACCAAGGGTGGTTACCTGTTGGGTTTAAAGTCCCCACCAGTTTTGACATTCCTTCTTTTCGTGATTCTAAGAAGGGCTTTAATGGGGAACCCATAAAGAGAAGACACTCCCCTCCACCCCTGAGTGAGGGCTGATTGTTTGCTGTTTCTTTTGCTACTGGGATCAGGCAGCTCTTGGATACTTCTCTCAGTTGCTGGGCAACTCCAAGCAAATAGTGATGGGAGGTAGCAAGGAGGGCCAAGAGAATGCCTTGCCAAACTGGATGCTCAGATTTTCCCCACCACCCTTCCCTAGCCCCCCACACCTGTTTACTTACAATGCGGCTACGAGTGGCATTATCAAAGAAGGTATCCTTATCCTGGATGTTGTACCTAGAGACATCAAGAAAGCAGATGGTAAACTCCTTTCATTACCCTTGTCCGAGACCACTATTACATGCCCACATCAAACCAAGATCCTTCTATCTGGAGCCCAACAGACCATGAAGAAGTGTTTCCATGACACCAAAAATCTGTGCTTAGAGTTCACTATAATGGTGAAAAAGGTAGAGAGCTCTTTTGAAGAATCCTGTTTCGGGATGGAACAATCTCAGAAGGCAATTAGATATTCAATTGTCTATGGAAGCCCAAGGACTTTTGAACGTCTTTGGAATGTTTGGAATGAGAATTTTTTTAAGAAATGCAATGGCTAAATGTCCCTTGAGTTTCATCCAATTTTTAGTTTCATGAGAACTTATTCACAACACTTTAAACAGAATGCCTCAGGAAAATCCTGTACTAACCACCAAACAAACTAAGAATGAAAGTAGGCAAAGCCTCAACATGACAAACATCATTTACTCTTACCCCTGGGTCCCTGGGGAAAATTTCTGCCTACTGGAGCTAGACTTTTATTTAAAAACCACAGCAGAAAAATTATAATACCCAATGCTGGTAAAGTTCTGGGGAATTTCACAGAAACACCACTGATGATTGTGTAAATTGGTACAAACTTTTAGAAAGCAACATAGCAAGATGTATAAGATATACACACATTCACAATGTTTATACTCTTTGACCCAATAATTCTGAGAATTTACCACAGAAATTTATCATCGGGAATAAATAACAGAAGGAAAAGTTACACAAATAAAAACATTCATTACAAAGTCATTTGTAATAAAGATTATGGAGATACACTGCATTTCCAAAATCTATATGATAGGTTAACATGAAACCCCTGTTAATTATAATTATGAAAAATTTATAGACAATAGAGAAATATCTTACAATGATGTTAACTTTTAAATACGAAAGTATGCACAGAAAAAAAAATGATGCCTGTGCATGGACAAAGAAAGGAAAAACAAAAAGTTCCAAGGTGTTGGGATTATAACTTTTTTTTCAAAATTTTACTTAATGTTGTCATGTCAGTTAGATACTGTAGTCCTAATTATGCAAGATCCATGTATGCTCTAAACTTCATACATTGATCTTTCACTAAAAAAAATCACACTTGTGGCATGTTTACTGTGCTTAGGTCACTGTGCTAGAGTGTACACAGATGAATAAAATGTGCTCCCAGCTCTCTCAGGAGCCACCTGTCACTGAGGTATGTGTGTTTTCAAGTAACTAATTCAGAGTAGAATATGGTAATGTGAAGACTATTGCTATGAATACTCAGAGGACGGAGAGCATGTTTTTGGTTGGGAAGAATGAAAGATTCTTCCAGACTTCCGGCAAAATGGTGCTCTAGGCAGAAGCACCACTCCGT